TGATTTTCGTGGCTCTTTCTACGAGAAACGATCGACTTGCGGCGTCGATCCTTGAGGACCAGCAGCGTCAAATTTAGAAAATAATATCTTCTCATTGAGACAATTTAGACCATTTTAAATCTTGATAATCGCCGTCATTATTGTTTATATCCAACAAATCATCGTCCTCGGATGATTACTCAGCAATACTCGACGAGACGTCGAGTCTTTAGCATTTTAAGTTTACAGACAAAAAATATATTTTTTTTTAATAATCGATAAGTCGATATGCTTTATAATACGTAAACCGGCATTCTCCCAGTGCATCCCGTTATCTCTTGTTTACTTAATACTTTGCATGCTTTCGTCTTTTCTTCAGGAGCAAGCGCAGAGCATTGTCTTTTCCCCGGACGGCAACGTCATAGTCGTCGGTTGCGTGTCCGGGAAATGGCTCGCTATTGACAGCGAGACGCGAGAATTGTACACGCACCACAGTGATGGTTCCGAACCTCTACAGGTACGTACGTTCGTAGAAACAGCCTGGTAATGGTTTCTAATTCTCGAGAAATTCGAATCCCCCCTCCCCCCCCACCGTGAAAGTGCCCCGACTTTCCCTTAATTTTTGACACGAATATGTTCGCTGAAACAACTCTGCGAAGTGCGGTGTAGGATGATATCGAGAAGGCATAATCAGCGATATCAGTGATTTTATCGGGATTTTCACGATTTCTCGCGATTTTAGGCCGTGCAATTCTCGCCCGATGGTTCTCTGCTCGCACTGGGTTCCAGAGACAATTACATTTACATCTACCAAGTGAACGACGACGCGACCAAGTACAGTCGAGTCGGACGGTGTATGGTGAGTAAATTAAGACGAAATAATCGCCCAATCACAGAGTAATCACCGCGACATTAGTCAAACTTGTGCTATTTTCTGCGATTTTTACGAAAGTGCTGCTTTCTGCCGCGACTCAATTCACTTCCGCGTTCCACAGTACACGCGCCTTCTCAAGCGCGATATTGGACGAAATAAGTTTCTCTTTACATTTTACGCCGGATATATCACCCGATTGTGTGTACCTGTTATCCTAGATTCGGTCCTCTTTTCGATTCATTCGCGTCGTTATTTTCTTTTCATTGCCTAATTAATTTTTCAATCTGTAAAATATTCCACGTTAATACCCATTATCACATGTGCTGTAAATAACGCAGATTTAAGCGCGTGTATATACATTTATCCCGCTACAGGATTCAATCAATCGTCGACAAAACTGGATTTATATTATCCGACGGTTGGGCTTGTTGCCTTTCAAGCGAACATAAACTATTCCATCCATCATGCCTTATGTAAAATATACACATCGTGTATACATTATAATTCAGAGAACCGACTCTAAAATTATACATATATACAGGGTGTCCGGGATCTTTTGAAGACGAGCTTTTCTTTCCACTTTGATCCGATTAATCTTCACAATTTTTCGTTTCCGAAAGATCCCGAACACTCGGTATATCTGTATCTCCGTATAATATCATGTACACACACACACACACACACACACACACAAAACCTAAGCGATTTCATCGACTCAGTAGTATTACAGTAGCCCTCAGCGAATTGTGATCCCCGGTCGATGGTACTCAATGCGACTCTTTTCCATTTTTAGCCAAAGCGGATTCGAAGGCACAGAGTAAGACTTGTGTTTCGGCCACTCGAGAACGTAGAACTGTGTGGACGTCGCGTTGCGCGCGTAAAGTCGTTCGTCTCTTGACTGAGCAGCTACTTACACACTTGTCTCCTCCGTGATATCGAGCGTGCAACGCGACGTACTTGACACTTTTTATTCTCGCACGCGATCATAGAAATGCTGAGATGATTAGCTGAACTACTCTCGCTTAACTCTTCCTAAGCACCCCGCAGCAGCAGCACACGCACGTTAAAACCACTTCTCGCACAAAGTAACTCGGATCAAGCATCTCGCAACTGCGACACGATAGATACGATAAGAACTGTGTCGTCGGCTAGTTCGTCGCAAGACGAGCGTCCAATACTTTAGCTAAGAACAGCAACAACAACAACACAGCAACACGCTTGCAACAATTTCTCGCGACAGTTCGCGTTGGGTTCCGCGCACGACAGCGCGCGTATATACGGAAATTTCTTCATTTCAGGGTCATTCGAGTTTCATAACTCATCTGGACTGGTCCGTGGACGGTCAGTATCTGCGCAGCAACAGTGGAGACTACGAATTGCTATACTGTGAGTAACCCTCTCTCTCTCCCTCTCTCTCTCTCTCGAAACGAAGCAAATTTATTCGCTCCGATGAATCGATAGACACGGGGAGTCTGTCATCCGTGGAGGAACATTGAGAAGTTGACGAGAGATAAAGTGCAAAATTAACAATGCAAATGTTCGCGTATACAAAATAACGTTCTCCCTCCTTCCCCTCCTCCCCCGCCCCGTTATTTGGCAGGGAATCCCGGCGTGTGTCGTCAAATTCCACAACCGTCAATGCTGAGGAACGTTGACTGGGCGACCCACACCTGCGTGATATCCTTCGAGACCATCGGCATCTGGCCGGAAGGTGCCGACGGGACCGACGTGAACAATTGCACGCGGAGCGGCGACGGCAAACTCCTGGCTACCGGCGACGACTTTGGCAAAGTCAAGTTATTCTCCCACCCGGCGTGTCAGCCGAAGGTAAAATCGAGGCGGTAAACGAGCAGTTTGTGATCCAAAACTTTGATTCTCCACTTCGCCCACCTTTCTCGGCGGCCGACCGCCGACCGGTCGAACATTAGACATTAAACTCGTTTTCGACTTGATCGGAGGCAAAACGAAAAGAGTCGAAGAGGGGGGAGCCTCTGCAGATCGTCACTGACCCCGAGGTCAAATTCGATTTTCGTTTCAGTCACTCTACCATTCCTACGGCGGTCACTCGAGTCACGTGACAAACGTGTCGTTCCTGCAGGACGATTCCCGGCTGGTATCGACCGGCGGCGCCGATACCAGCGTTCTCCAGTGGATAGTCAATTGAGCGAATAGTCCTTAAAGGAGCGGATAACTTTTCCAAGTGCACTTCAGAGGATAATCGAACTGAGAAGAGGAAGGAGGGGGGGGGGCGGGGGGATTCATCGACGCGTCGCTTGGGATGGAAAGGAACGAGCATGCTCTTCGCCGCGTCATCTACTTAATCGCCGTGATCGGGAGGATCCAAACTAACGACGATTTCGATACCTCGCGGATTTCTCGACGCGCGCTTTATCTTCGTTCGAGTCGGGCGAGTTGGACTCGCGCGAGTGGAGCGGGTGTCGCGCGCGCGTGCGATTCGCATCGTCTCCTTCACCTACCTACCGGTATCGGTATCGGTGTGATGTGGCACCGGCCACGTTTCTCTTTACATTCGTGTCCAATTATCAACGCACCGTATCAACGAGCGCCTGTCTCTGAGCGCGATCAACGTTGTGCTCTGCTCTGAGTCTGCTTTCATTCAAGGGTGCTTTACGTTCAAAGGTGCTGCTTTTTATTCTCCTTAAGCAAGCTTCTTAATTCGCCAACAAATTCGCCGGTAAAAAGCTTCTCCCAGACGCTCGATTTTCATTCGCTAGCGTCTAAAATTCAGAAGTCGCGGCGTCTGGTGATTAAAGCTCAACAACAAAAGAGTTCAACTTTATCGCGCCTTAAAAATTTTAGCCGCTAGCGAACAAAAATGCGTTGCTCAGGAGAAGCTTGCTCAGAACGAATAAAAGAAGCACCGCGTAAAAAATTGCCCTTAATCGGACGAACGACGATTTTTGCACGGCAATCGCGATTTTTGCCGCGTGCGCCTTTCCTCTGTCTCTTGGTTTCCTGCGATTGCAGCACGACTGTTCGATATTTCTATACGGCGCGATCCGTCGCTCTCGTTGGTGATTTATACTACGAGCTAAGCGAGTAAAATAATTTAGTTTCCCTTGTTCTCTTTGCTTTTGGTTTTCTCCTTCTCGATCGGCTTCATATGCATACGTACACTTTACGAAGCTTTTTACACGAGTGGGGTCCTTAAACATCTCCAAACGATTAAATGTCATCCCCACTCTCTTCATCCCCGTGAACATGTACGCGCACACGCACACGTACGTGCGAGATCCGTCGTGTATCGATCTCGCGCGCGCGCGCGCGCGAGAGAAATGCCCAAATGCGCGGACCACTGTTAACGCGGCGGCCGAGCTTCGGTCGGACGACGATATCTCGCTCGGCTCGCAACCGAGATCGGCTCGGTATAATTTAAGGAAAATGTACTTTGCAACGTCACCCGCGCAATGTGGCGAAGGTACTCTCGCATCGCGTTCTAACATAGTGTTTCGATACTCGATACTTTCGCTTTCTCGTACTTCGCGCCGGCGCGGCGACGTTGCGATTATTTATTTTTCATACTCGACAACAGACGAAGGAAAGCTTTCCAAGCGATTAATTTAAGAAGCTAGATGTTTAGAGAGAAGGATTATACCGAGATACACATAAGTATGTATACACGTATAGTTTCGTTATAAATATATGTTACTGCATAACGATACACGCATTTCGCGCGACTGGCCGATCAAGCTGCGCATCCGAGGAAAATCCTTCGACGATTTCGGCTCGCGCGTCAAGAGTCACACGCACACGCATGTACGCGCGTACGTACGTACCTCACATGTGTGCGCGAAGTATGAAACCGAAAAGCCACCTGCCTCTCTCGAGCTATTCCGGATACATTTTGAACGCGATTGAAGACGAATCTCGAGCGGACAAGCAAGCGCTTCTTCTTCTTCTTCTTCTTCTTCTTCTTCTTCTTCTTCTTCTTCTTCTTCTTCTTCTTCTTCTTCTTCTTCTTCTTCTTCTTCTTCTTTTTCTGCGACGAGAACGCATCGAAAGTAACTAGTCGTGGACGAAAAGATCGCGAGGCGCCCCGCGCATTTTCAGGAGGGGGCGGGGGCAGGGAAACAAGAAAACACGAAAAACAGACACGGAGAAACGCATCGTCGCAAAGCCGCAAACCAACTCACAGTGCCGTATTATGCCGTCCAATAGGAAAGTACGTAGCGTTATTAATTCGCGACTCGACGGGTGGTGCTTTCGACGCGCGATTGTCACGGCGGTTCGACGAGCGAGTAGGTATATTATTACGATTGCGGTAGGATAAGTTGCGAGAGAGGATAAGACGAAGAAAGAAAGAAAGAAAGAAAGAAAGAGAGAGAGAGAGAGAGAGAGAGAGAGAGAGAGAGAGAGAGAGAGAGAGAGACACGACGGGAGAAGGAATAGAGAAGGAAAGAAGTACTTTTCGTACACGCTCGAACACGGTGAATGTACGTTTATCGCCTTTTTCCACGTATTTTGCGGTCACATAATTTGTGCCGTCTCTTCTACCCCCCCCCTTGCCTCCTCTACTCCACCCTGCGCCTACTTTCCGCCTACCACCGTTCTCCTCTATTTTGGCATCAATCCAATCTTACCAAAGTCTTAACAGAGCAATGATAATCACTTTATTTTCACTCGTCGTCAACGTGTAAGATATATCTATATATTTTATTTATGTCCACGGTAAAATATATACGCGTGTATGCGTGTATGCATTATGTATGTATCTTCGAGACAGATAAAATAAATCGTCCTCCCGAGACAACGTTACACAATTATAAATCATCACACTTGGAGTTGACGCGACGTCTAGCTACGCGCAGCTATGCGCGGCGTCTGCAAATATGTTGCAGAGTAATATGCGCGAGAAGAAAAGCCTTGATTGTAAAGAAAATTTGGATCGTCGCGATAAAATCGCAAGGTTTACGACCGCGTCGAATTTTTCGGCCGGCCGGACGAGACGGCCGTCGCGTGAATGTGCGAGCGGCGACTTCCTGGGCAAACGCGACCGTTGCGGTGTGCGTTGGGAAATCGAAAGCGGTGAAAGTGCAGTCGTTTAACAGCGATCCGTTAAACTCAAGGTCGTAAAGGGGGATTTCCTCCGAAGGAAGAGGTTAGGTGCGACGATGGGGACGACGAGAGGAGATCAAGGATGCGTGGCGATGAAAGCGTATCCCAAATCTCGCAGCGAATTTTCCATGTCGATCGCGTCGCGTTCGAGCAGCCGCCTTAATCGCGCTCTCTTCGCGTCCAGCACTTCCTGCCGGCTGCGTTTCAACGGATTCTGCGATACCGGGACTTCCTTCCGCGAGCGACATTGAATTTTTCGGGCACACGCGGTATCAACGATGCTCGTTTCCGCCTCGCCGCCCTCTTCCTCCGATCTGCGGACGGAAACTCGTCGTTACAACGACGTCGCTCGCCAACGGTTCGCTCCCCGACCGAATGTTTCCTCGGAGATACGAAGGAGGAACGGGTAATCGCGCGGGGACGCGAGAAGGATACTGTCATTACGCTTACGGTCATAAATATCAAACATTTTTTTTCTTTCTCTTAGAAATATTCCTAGAGAGAAAAGACAGTACGACGTCTCGTAGACGTCGTTCGCGCCACTTGGGAAGATTCGCTTCGACAAATCTGCTTCCAGATTGCCACCTTGACGTCGTTCGTCGCTCACACTACATTTCGCGATCGCTCCGCGATAAGTTTGCGTTGTACCGTCCGTGAATGGCGAAATGCAGTCGCACGGCGATGCTCTGCTGCTTTGTTATTTAAAACGCGCTCATGTACATACGTGCACATGGCTGTCAAAAGCCAAACGAGATAACCTCGCGAGGCAGCGCGAGAAACCGACACGAAGACGACGGCCCCCGACGGTCGTAAAATTTACGCTCGTGCGAAAGAGAAACTTACATTATCGTCGGCGTAACGATCGACGCTCGCGACTGCACGCGCTCGCGCCTGCCGTCGTCGGCTGATACTTTTTCTCCCCCCATCTCTCTCTCTCTCTCTCTCTCTCCTCGTTTTACGTCTCTCAATCGCGAAGATAAATTTCTAATGGCGACGCGACGCAAAGACGCGAGAGAGTTTCAAATGTCTCGGAAGAATTTCACAGAGGGAACGCGAGAACGCCGCGCGGAGGACTCCCGAAAGGCCGCTTTCGAAAATAACTTGGTTTACTTGGAGAACCGACCGAGGATGCCGACTAGCCGCGTTTGATAAATAATCCCGCGCTTTGTTCCGCGCGCTGCGCGTCGTATGTGCGTGCGTCGCGCGGCCGCGCGGCTCATGAATGAACGTAAACTCAGAGTCGGCTCCTTTCGCCCGCTGACGCGTGATTCGATCGTTTGGAACTTTTTTCAATTATTCTTTCTTTCTCGCCGGCGCGGGCGCGGGCGCGGGCGTTTGATGAATTGCGCGTCGACGAATCGCTCTCTCGCGAGATCCCTCATCCCTCGCGAGAAACGGCCGCGAGAGGATGAAGATCTGGCGAGAGGCGAGAAACAACAATTTTCCGAAAATGGTCGCCCAAATCCCAAAGAAAGAGACTCCTAAACCGTGTCCTCAATGTCCTTAATTTATCGCGGGACGACAGGATATCAGGTCTGTTCCGAAATCGATTTCGGGAACTTTGCTTATAGTTATAAAGTTGGTAGGGCTTAAAAAACTAATTCAGGTGCGTTCCGCGATTGATCGGCTGCTGGTCAATTATCAAGATAATACGTAATAAAAAATCTACCCGTTTCTCTATCTAATATTAGATAAATAAAATTAATAGCTAAAACTACATTCGTAAACGAAAGTAGTGCGTGGCTGTGAACGTGATCAGCCGATCAATTACGAGACGTGTCCAAGCCCTACCCCGACCTTGCAAGCACCTTAAAGGCAAATTTTCAGAAACCGATTTCGGAACAGGCGCGGCGCAGCGGCTGCCGAGATGTTGTTACGCGAAAACGCAGAATCGAAATCTGTCGATTCTGCGTTTAGCGATTGTTTGCAAAACAAGTTCCGCGCGGGCGCGCGCATCGTCCGTTGCGCAACGTCGCGTCGTCCGAGGAGAAACATTTGTTTACGTCGACGTAATTATACTTTCGACACGGCGGACGGCCAACAGGATGTGTGAGGTTGGGATTCATTAAATCAATACGAGATCGTTTATTTTCCGATAAAGCCATCGCGCGAGATCGCGCGTGTACTGAATAAAAATGACAACGACGACGACGACGACGACGACATTCGTCGTTGCACTTCTTCTCTCCGATTCAATTCAGAGGCGAGATCGAGGTGGGGTCTGTCTCTTTCGGGCAGCCTCGAAACAACACGTCGCCGTCTCGCCGAGCAGTTAAGCACTTCTGGATCCACTCGGCCGTTCGGTCGCCTGAATCATCGATCATGCTTAATTGTATCCATCGTCCGCATCGCCGATATCACCCTGTCATGCGCTAATACATTATGCACGGCTATCGATCGGAATCCACATGACGAGGTGGATGGGAAGGGAGGAGAAGATAAAAAGAGAGAAAGGGAGCGGGAGGCAAGCGCTAAGGAGATATCAAACAATCATTCATCGGCTGCTCCAATTTAGAGAAGCGAGATTAATCGCGGCGCGCCTTGCGAAACAAACGCGACGAAAAAGTCCCGCCGGAGGTGACGTCAGAGTTGCGCGCTGATTTATGCAAGCTTCGGCTTCGCGCGATAACACGTATTGAGAGAGGGGGAGAGAGAGAGAGAGAGAGAGAGAGAGAGCTGATTGCGGCGCTCGTTCTTTTTGACTTTGAGAGACCAAATTGGCAGGATTACATGAGCAAATTAATTGCAGTATCCCTTCCCCTCCCTCTCTTGCTTTCTACCGCGGACGAAAAGAGCTCGAGACTGCAAATTTGAATTTCAGGAGGCCGGATCGAGGCCGATTTCAGTTTCAACGGGTACTTCCGTTCCGTTCGCCGATGTTGTCGAGAGCGGCGCGAAAAATCGGGATACGCACAGAATCAGAGCGGAAACGCACGGTGAAAATCTTACGCCATCGACGAACGAAAGTGTGCCCCCTCGAAAGACAATTCCTATCGTTTCGTCAATGTACTCGCCCGCGGTGCTCGTGGCACAGATCGTGGCACGAAAAATTGAGAAACCAGCGCGAGAGGGGAAACACCTCCGATCGATGTACTCGCCGATCGTGGTCGGCAGATTATAATAATCGCGGGCGACTTTGGTCCTTGAGAGAATCGCGAAAGCACGTCTTCACGAAGATATGCTTTGAAATGCTTGAAATTTGGCAGACGCACGGGACGCTGAGGACCAAGCCTGACGAGAGCGAGACTTTTTGACAGGAAATGACTCCGAGGCTAGATAAGGTCGTCTCACAGGTCGACGAGGAAATTGCGTCATCCGGGAACCGGGAATGTAACAGAAAACGATCAATCTGCGCCATTGCGCAGATTCGGTTCCAGGTTCGTCTAACGACGAACGACCCCGGTCATCGCTAAATCGCGACAGCAGAGGGAGAAGTCCGATATCGCGCTGCACAGGTCGATTGAGCTGTCCATTGTCTTAAATTTAATTAATCCCTGCAATCTACGATGCAAGATACGAGCGGCTGACATCTGACATTTGCGGCCTCGACCGAACGACGTGTGTCTGCATATGCACGCTGGAAATTCGCATTAGCACACGCGGCGAGACAAAGCGCGCGAGCGCGAGCGCGAGCGCGAGCGCACGTCTCGCCTCGATTCATTTACCGGGATCTGGAACGAACGGCGATCGACTAACTGGCGCGGCGCGGCAGCGATAAAAATGATTTCCCGAGTGGTGTGGTCGGCCAGTCGGAAGGAAAAGTAGCCGTTTCCCACGTTCGACGAAGGGTCCCCGATTGCTCGAGTCGGAGCCCGCTCGAGCTTTAAAGCAACTCTCGTTCTCGCCTGGCGCGAGCGCACACACGTGTGTGTTCATCGCCGGTGAACACAGGTACACGTACGCTGCCGCGGCAGCGCGAGCGAGTGAACTTAAAGGCACGTTCACAGTGAAGAGAAACCTCTCCTCCGTCTTTACGGTTACAAGACAGTACCGGCGCGTGCCGGCGCTTTCAAAAACCGGAATTTCAAAAACGCCGTGATACGGCGAGAGAAAAGTACCTGGCCAACGTGGAGTCGGCGCGCTGTTTCGCTGAGACTTTGATCGTCTCAGCGGAAAACAGGTGGGATTTGATATTTCTGGAGGAGCTGGAAAAGCTCCGACGCACGAAGGTGCGAGATACGAGAGAGAGAGAGAGAGAGAGAGAAATGTTACGATGTTACGGCAGTTTCCCGGCGCGCAGAAACTCGGCTACGCTTTCGCGAACAGTCGTTTGTATTAGGTAAGCACAGGAAAGTTCGTTTGAATCGATAGAGATAAATAATTAATTTCCGTGAATGTTGTACACACCGGTGAGTTCTCTGTTAAGTAAGCTTTTGTTAAGTAAGCGTGCGTAACCACGTTTTTAACCGATACCGGACGCGCATGCGCAGTTTGACGGTGACAAAACCTCAAAACGGTCAATCAACTCCGTCTTGGTTGCCGTTCTGGTATAAAGGTTCGTGTCGGTTTGTAGAATAGAATATTCTGCATCCCATTCACATATTTCGCCCAGTCCGTTTCCGAAACTCTCTCCCCCGGCCCGTCGCGACGCTCTCTCGGCGGTTCTCGCGCTCCGCGCGTTGCGGATTTTCCTTAAGGAACGAGCCGAGCAATCCGCCGAGGGAAAGTGCTGTCCTACTTGCGCGCCCACCACCG